AGTGATTACCACCCACAAATTTAACGCTTCAGTGGCATTACTAAATGCCAGATACGATGAAGATTCATGGAGAGGGGCAAGTCAGTCTAGTTTGGAACTATATTCTGGGGTCTATGAACACCGCCAAACTCTACCCGATCATCTGGGTTGAGAGTTCAGGATAGCAGCATTATTTAACAGCCTAGTCAGAGACCGGGCCGCGAGAACATTGTGCCTAGCGGTACAAGTCACGTTTAATTAAATTAGGAAAGTAGGATAAAACGACAGCGTTTGAAGTAACAATTTAGTATTCAAATTCAACAGTCAAGAATGAACGCGAGGCGTCATAAAGCGAGGTCTGATCAGAAGACCAAATGGTGATGGGCAGTGCATCATCGTTGTTGTAGATTCAGCTACTCTACAATGTCCATGTAGCATGGGCTATGGCGAGCCCGTAATCGAGTTACTCCAGCAAGCTTCAGGGTTAGTGTAAACGGCTGCCCCAGCAAATACTATCAACTGATCCGTCTGAAGACGGAGTCTTTGTAGGTCTTTAGATGGTTTCCGTTTGTTCTACGACTTTTCAGCCTCTGTCCATGCACTTATATTGAAGGTTTCTCTGAAGCGATCTGTGTATGCTATCTTTGACAGTCTGGCGGGCAGTGAGTACATCTTTTTATTCCATCATTGTAGATGTTCAGTACAGAGACTGTCCTCGTTGCCTCGTTGTAGTTGGCCGGACCTGAGGAAGAGGAATATTAGGAATGGTAGGTTTAAAATATTTAATATTTCACACCCTTATTTTACCGTTACGTAAATCAAGTCATCGTTGGACAAAATGAACCTTCACTGCCGCCCACAGAATGAGTCTAGGGTGCACAACTAGTCACACGATGTGTATGGGGTCCACTACCGCAATATAAACATATGGACTAGAGACTCAAATGAACAAGAACTTCCATTAACAACTGGAATATTGAAACAAAAGACTATGGTAGCTAATAATAATGTGCAAGTAATTGAGAATGATAATTAACGGTTATCAATTTATGAAACTTACAAATTAAGTGCAAGGTTCATTCAATTTTGTAAAATTTAGTCTAGGTAGTAAATTGGTGAATAAAACATTAAGTTATAATCTGTTTACGTTATACCCTTGATATCACGCGATACGTGATGTAACTTTCAATTTTAATATCACAAATTCAAAGTAAATTCAAATTTGAAAAAACTAGTAACCCGACTATACAAATGTATCAAATATTTAACCGAATTTTTAAGGTTTAAACCAGACGTTAAGGGCTAGCCTCTCCCTTGATACAGGTGGGATAAAGGAGCGTTACAAGCCAATTTTGATCTGCTACAGTGCCACACGCAGCATTGTGCTCAGTTAACCCAACGTAAATCTGAAAATGGAAGTTTCCCCAAAGGGAGGGGGCGCGCGCCGCGCTACAAGGGAGGGGGCGCGCGCCGCGCTACAAGGGAGGGGGACGCAGCAAAGGGAAGGGGAGGGGGGACGCAGCAAAGGGAAGGGGAGGGGGGACGCAGCAAAGGGAAGGGGAGGGGAGGCGCAGCAAAGGGAAGGGGAGGGGAGGCGCAGCAAAGGGAAGGGGAGGGGAGGCGCAGCAAAGGGAAGGGGAGGGGAGGCGCAGCAAAGGGAAGGGGAGGGGGGCGCAGCAAAGGGAAGGGGAGGGGGGACGCAGCAAAGGGGAGGGGGGACGCAGCAAAGGGGAGGGGGGACGCAGCAAAGGGGAGGGGGGACGCAGCAAAGGGGAGGGGGGACGCAGCAAAGGGGAGGGGGGACGCAGCAAAGGGGAGGGGAGGGGGGACGCAGCAAAGGGGAGGGGAGGGGGGACGCAGCAAAGGGGAGGGGAGGGGGGACGCAGCAAAGGGGAGGGGAGGGGGGACGCAGCAAAGGGGAGGGGAGGGGGGACGCAGCAAAGGGGAGGGGAGGGGGGACGCAGCAAAGGGGAGGGGAGGGGGGACGCAGCAAAGGGGAGGGGAGGGGGGACGCAGCAAAGGGGAGGGGAGGGGGGACGCAGCAAAGGGGAGGGGAGGGGGGACGCAGCAAAGGGGAGGGGAGGGGGGACGCAGCAAAGGGGAGGGGAGGGGGGACGCAGCAAAGGGGAGGGGAGGGGGGACGCAGCAAAGGGGAGGGGAGGGGGGACGCAGCAAAGGGGAGGGGAGGGGGGACGCAGCAAGTGGGAAAGGGGGGAGGGGGATCCTCACCATACAGGCCACCTTCGAGAGACGAAGCTGAAACTGTATACCAAAAGTGAGGTAAAACAACACTGAAGTGCTTTATGTCTCATCCTTCCTTATATATCCAGCAGCCAACCAAACCCGGCCGCTGATTGGTTAACATTCACCCTAAACCTCGCCCCCATTGGTTAACATTTAGCGAGTCTCAAGTGTCTATTAACAATGGCCAACAGCCACTCCTTCACTTCCCCAAATACGAACGAGTCTCTACTGAACCAATAATGTATATAATGTTGTTTAGCGAACGTATCATTATTATTAACTATTTTAGTAATGAGTTCATTCATCTGTCAACAGCTATCATCTTCGCTGACGACTTCACTACAATCTTAATTATTATGCCTTAAAAATCATCCAAAATGCTAAAATAAGGACCCATAGGTGGTAGCTATGTCTACCATAGGTGAACTATATATCTTAATTATTCATTTTAAAAATAATAATTATTATTATTCATTATTTAACTTTGCCTCAAGTCAACTAGATTTTCTTTCTTTAGATTTCAACTAGTAATTTTTATCCATCCTCTGAGCTGAGCCCCACAAGGTCTCCGTGCCATCCTCTGTGCTCTTCCACAAGGTCGAATTACTGATCATTCCCAGGATGCACGAACTGTATAATAAATTGATTGCTTTGGTAATTATCAATTAATATTTGCACATATATTACCCAATACCCATCGCCTGTTTGAGGGTGGGGTGCAGAGTACATGTGTGGGTACAGAGTACATGTGTGGGTACAGAGTACATGTATGGGTACAGAGTACATGTATGGGTACTGAGTACTTGTGTGGGTACAGAGTACATGAGTAATGAGTAGAGTACCAAACGTTGTCCTGGTCCGCCTGTCTCCCATTTATCCATACATCTAAGCCTTAGTACCCTTCCCCTCCCTTCATCCTCCCAACTAGCCCAAACCCCCTCGTCCTCCTCCCTATACCTTGGCCTCCACACCCCCTCCTCCCTATCCCCTCGTCCTCCACACCCCTACATCCAATCCCCTATTCTCCTTCACACTCCCTTTACTCACTTTCTTCCACACCTCCTCGTCCCCACCCCTTCACCCTCCCATCCTCTTCCTCGTCGTGGCCCCCTCCCTCCCATTTCATCATTTACAATATTAGGGAGCAATAAAATTACTGTATTATTTAGGGAAATAATCAGGCATCTCAACCAAAATTTCACACTTGATCAGAATTGAATCCGTGAGATCAGTTTTGGGTGGGGTGGGTGGGGTGTGTATTTACTAATACAGTAAGTATGTTAAATCATTTAACTCGGGCTTTCTCCGACCAGTCTGTGTCTGTCCCATCCCCACTACAAATTTCGGTAAGGCATCTGTCCTCCAATTTTGATAAGTTCAGGTATGTTTATTGAGATAAGAAAGAAATACATCTCAAAGGGATAGAGTAGGTTAGGCTATTTCTACCCCCCATTTTCATAAGACAGACATTCTATCTTATAGTACAAATTATTCTTGATGCGAGTTTTAGGCAAAAATAGTCCCGAGTGTGTCAGCTGGCAGCCAGAGTTCTGACAGGTAATTCCGGTGGGTCAGGGTCTCCCGTTTAGGTCTGTGACCTGGTCTCCTTGTGACCAGGTTGGTCAATGAGAAATTTGTGTAACAGATTTAGTAAAGTCGAGATGGATTGGAGGGGTTGGTGGGGAGGGGGGGGGGTGAGTGCGGGTTAGTATTATTAGGATGATTCAGAATGAGGAAAGGAGAGGGTCTTGTATGAATTTATCTGTGGGTCACCATCTCTGGAGGCCTTGATTAGGACAGGAAACCAGTGGCTTGTCAAAGGTTCACTCATTTTCCTGATGATTTTTTCTGTCTGGATTTTAAACTAAAGGAATGACTTGGCATTTACAGCTTCAGTGGTTAGGCAGTCCCATGGGTTTACAACCCAATGGATGAAAAGCATCCATTTTCTGTCTTACCTTATGGTTTGTTGAGCTTGAAGCTGTTGCCCCCTTGTATGTGTAAAATTTAACATTTTAAAATAGTGGTCTGAATTAATATCCTTCAACTTGTTCGGTATTTCAAAGGACTCAGCTATCATGTCTTGTTTACAAGGTTGGTAGGCTTGTGGCCTTCAAACATTCATGGTATGAGAGTTTACTTAGTTTTGGGATGATTTTTGTTGCTGTGTTGAACTTTCTCCGGAGCAGAAAAGCAGATATGTCATTTTGAAGGTGAGGTCTCCATATTAGGATACAGTAGTCAAGATAGGAGCACAATAGAGACTTGTTCAGTTTATTGATTTGAATCTTTTTTTTTTTTTTTTTAGTGTGCTCAAGTTTGTTTTTTTGCTCTCGTGTCAACATCTTGAGTATAATACAAGTACAGTAGTCTAATTTAACCAGTGACTTCAATGGTATTACCTAGTAACTAATTATCATAAAAAGGAACCAAGCGAGGGAGACTATGTAGCACCAATGGTATTATACTGTATAGCCATACTACAGCTTAGCATCTTCTGAAAATTATTACTGTACTTTGTTCCAATAAAAATAATTATATTTTTCTTATCAACTGTTCTTGCCACATAACAATAATCTTTAATTTGTTCGTTCGCTTTAACTATTTTCTCTTTTGAATGGCTTCTTCCCCATTTTACTACCGAAGATTTTGTCTACAGGCCAATAATAGCCACTTCATTGGAAATAGTGAAATAGACAAAAGCTGAAAAGTTTTCCACAGAACAATCATGCATGACAAATCTGTTTACATATAAAGAGGAAGAAAAAGGGCCATCATTATCGTCATATTCCGCTTTATTACACTGTACAAAATTTTGTACACATATCTACAAGTGAGTGTGTGTATAAACAAAGGCACTTTTCTTTGGTAGCTTCTGTGAGGCCCCACTACACAACAAAACCACTAAATAACATACAGTATTGATATCCTCGTGAAAATGATGAACTGTGTTGCAACATAGAACACTTAAAAAGTGTTTCAATATGGCAGTTGGTATATATCTTGCATAAGTATAACTTAACCCTTTGGCTACATTTTTTTACTGTTGCTGTGTACTTTGCAGATTATGTTTTGTCCTCCTCAAATTATATACAGAACTGTATATATTTTTGACCTATTTTGAAAATTTGTAATATGAAAAACAATTATCTTTTCATACTTATCATGGCCCAACTAATTAATACTAAGCTGAAAATGTTTATAAACAATAAATATAATTCTATATAAAATTAAAAAAAATATATATATAATGTATATACAGTACTGCATAAAGCTTAATAAATCAAGTGTATTTAAAATACAATAAAAGTATTTTTTTTAAAAGATACAATATTTACATTCAGTTCAGCTCTGTAACCACTGGAGAGTAGCATTACGTATTAAGCAGCACACAAAGGCATTCTTATGAAGTTTGTCAACATTACTGAACATTTCGGTATAAAGACACATTTGGTAATCAAGAATGAGTCAAGTCAACTGTCATGATAACTGTACATTTTTTGTTGTTTTAAGTCAAGTGACATGATAGAACCTTTTTTTTTTGTTTTTTTCCCAGCTTAAGTCAAGTAAAGCACTGTAGCAGCCAAAGGGTTAAAGAAAATATTAAATGCATGCCTGATTAATGCATAAGCTGATGCTTTAAATTTATATATCTGAGAGTAATTTGTTTATAAATGCTTTGAACTCTTGTGCATATTTATATATAATTATTATATAACCTAATAGCCAGAGTACCTAACAAGCCATATTTCATTAATATCTGGGTTTCCCAAAGCTTTTAACTTGTAGACTGATAGATACAACTATGTTTAATTTCAAATTATTTTTTTAAATGAACCAAAACTAACTTAGCAGCCTGACCTAATTATGTCTAATATTCATTTATTCTGCTTATTTAATTTAGAATTCAAGGTAATCAATTTAATTTTATTCGGGGCAGTCAAATTTCTGAAAGATATACAGAATCAATATGACTGTTAACCAAAAGGGCCTTTGCTAACTAGGACTAGTAATACAGTTCTGGCCATTAGATAATTTAAAAGCTGGTCAGATAACACATTGCATCAAATGGATTCCATTGACTTTTGTTTCTGTCTAAAATTCAAAGCCAGAATTGGCATGCACATATTATAGGCAAGACGGGAAAACCTACTGAAAGTAAAGTGTGTAGAGTTTGCTTCAAATTACCGAGGAAATTCCATAAATAAGGCATCAATTATACAATTTTAGAAATAATCAATCTAAAACCCGAGTGCTAAATCTCACATGTCAAGTGTTTGCGACGACCTCAAGACCACATTCCCAGCTATGGAAGTTTAGAACTGGCCCCGTGAAGTCCAATCAGTGTAACCACCTACACTATTTGTTCTATCTTTTGTACCAACTTATTTATTAAACAAAAAGTTACAGTACATCTACAATGGAGTTATATTGGTGGGAATATGTCAGGTACAGCATTAGGTGCCATTTGTATGATAAATAATATACCATAACCAAAATTGTTTACGACATTGTCATCTGACAAACATGTATCTTATTTTCATATACAGTATATGTTCCCCTCTCTGTACATTAAAAAAATGCAATATCACAGTAGAAAAATCAAACTACAAACTCTACTCTAATTCTGTTTAGTAGTGAGGCTTCACAGTTAGGAGGTGAGCATTCATCACTTCCTTTGTTTAAACGTTTGTATGTCCATGCGTGTGAATGTAAGTATGTGCATGTGTGTGTGTGTGTGTGTGTGTGTGTGTGTGTAATTCTGTATTAATGTAAAAGTTCACTACAGTTTAAATAAATTTAATCAAACTGTCAAAGCTTGATATTCAAATAAATTTAATCAAGCTATCAAAGCTTGATAATCTGTTTAAAATGAATGCTGTACATCATCTAATATTAACAAGTCTATACATTAATTAACTATATAGGAACACAAGTTGTGTATCATACAATGAGATCAAAATCAAATAGAAAATCAATATTTTGCATATATTCAAAATCACGATCTTTGATTGCCTAATATTCACAATATATATAAATGTGTATTTACACTTTATGACAGAAGCACCATTATGGAAATACAGGAGTCAATAAGCCTCTTTCTAGAATATGAAATGTACATCACTTGAGAATGACACGTCTAGATCCTGGCACAACACTGTGCTGCCTCAAACCAAAGTGGCAGAACGCTTATGCGTGACTGTAGCAGGGACTGCCTGGTGTAGAGGAGCTGCATCCCAAGCTCCTCCTACAGGATCTTCGGGTTCTCCTGGGGCAGGTGATCCCTTCATAACTTCCAAGGGTTTGCATGTAAGAGGTGTGAGCGGTTGATAAACCCCCTTCTGTTGAGGTGCAGGAGCCGAATGATGAGCTACCATATTTGGTGATGGAGGGAGCAGTTTGCTGTTGCTGACTAACATTTGTGCTCTAGGAGGCAGCACTGGAGAGAGAGGTGTATCTCCACCACTGCTTACGCTGCTGACTGATCCACTTGTTGTACCTGTGCTGCTGCCATTCATGCCTCCTAAATTGCTAGAGCTTTGACGTCTGTACTTTGTACTATACTTGTAGAAGTCTGACATTTCAAATGGCTTTGAAACTTCTCTTGAGGGCTGATAAGTTCCTGCAGAAATTATCATGTGATTACGAGGTGATTCATAAGGAACAGATGCTTGAGAGGTATCAGCTGAATCAGAGCGAGATTGGAAGACACTGCCTGTGCTGCTGCTGGTGCTACCTACACTACTACCACTGAGGTTTAAGTTAGACTGGCTAGCAGATACATTACCATTACTCTGACAGGAGTCATTCATCTCAATCATACTTGTACTCTTTTTGGTTCGACGTCCAGAAGCTGGAGAATCTAACGAAGTCTCATACCACTCTTTTCCCCTTTCCTTTTTCATCCTAGCTGCCTCTGCTAGAGAGATTAATGGTTCTTCAGCCATGGAACTCAAAGAGGAATTTATAGAATTACTATGACTGTTGGGTGGCTCTGACTTTGCACAAGTAGCTTTCAGTGGAGGCATATCACTATTAGATTTGCTGGCTCTAAGAGGTGGTAGATCGGAAATAGTTTGTCTCAGAGAAAAATCCCCTGCATTACTGTTCATTGAAGGATGAAGGGATGAAATATTTTCATGGTGCATTCCATTTGTTGGACGTAAAGGTTGCAACTCGGAAGACGTACGAAGTGGAGGTATATTTTCTTGGTTGTGATTTGGCTCTAATACAAAAGTAGTTTCCATATAACTTCTTCCACTGGCTGTTCTTACCAATCTGTGCACTGTGCTGCTCTGTGACCTCTGAATGGCACCATGATTTGACCCACGATGATGCTGAGCAGGTGGTGCAGGCAGGCCAGGACCACTCTTGCTACGATGTCGGTAATTTTGAGAGTTTCCCTGGGATCCTCCTTGATGTCTGTACTGAACTGGTCCATCCACTGTGTCTCCTCCCCCTCCTGATCTTTCACTGGATGCTGTGTCAAAACTACAATTGGCTGTGGTTGGGTGAGAGTCACAGGTGGTATCCATAACTTCTTGATGTTCTGAAGTGTGGAAGTGGTGATTGTGGTAATGTGGGTGGTGTGGATAGGATGCTGCATGGCTTGGATGTAAGAGTTGGGGTGAAACTGAGTGGTGGTGACTGTTGTATATGTTGTGTTGAGGAGAATGTTGGGGAATGTTTGGGGAGGGTAGAGAATCAAGGTGTTCCATGCTGCGTGACTCCAGCCTCCCACTGTTGGCGCGTCGACGGTCCAGACTGCCGTACCTGAGGAGTGGACCGTGTGTCATGCAAGGTCAAGTGTGCAATAGCTGAGCTATATACAGGTACATAAACTGCTATGAGGCATGACCTTAGTAGTCCAAAGCTGATATTTTCTCGTATAAGTAAGTGAACGCCAGAAAGATCCAGCGCTTGCTCATTTACTTATGAGGGAGATATCACCTGACAAACACTAAAGCATCCTGGCCCACAACATCTAATGATCTAATAACAACAATCATGCATTTTGAACATATTTTTCCTGTGGTATTTAACTAACAAAAGTAAAAATGGGAAACTACAACAAAAATATTTGCAATCTACTACATCATGAAGAAATCTTGTTCCGTGGTTATTAAGCATTTATGGTAAAGCATTAAATATGACGTGCAAGCTCATTTAGAATACATATATTAGCAAGTTGCATATTGTCAACCAAATTCTCTTTAAATTAACCCTTTCACTGCTAACCACAGATAAGATATTTTGTATTAGTTTTGCTAATACAGTCTATTTACAGTGCATTTTTTCCGGCCAAATCTGTATGTATGTTAGTAAAATTTTCATAAGCAGTATGTGGAAAGTAAGCCTTTGGAAAAAGTTTATATTGTCAGCTGACAAGGTAGTAAATTTTAAGATAACATATATTATTATTATTGCTGATGCAGAAATGTTTTGCATCAACGATGTGATTTTTTTAAGGAATGATGCTTAACTTTTACATTAGCTAAATATAACTCATTTGGTAGCTATGCCCCTTTCCTTAAAATGTCTCTCAAATACTTTTATTGATTACACATAAGATATCTAATATGGGACAAGCCACAAAGTATAAAACTATGCACAGAATACATGAAAGTGACACAGATTTTGAATGGCCTTATAAACACGATAAAAGATTTAGTGAGAAATGAATAAGAAAACAAAAATTGACAGAAATTGCAAATGGTTTCTAATTACTGCATTTGTTGGGCACATTAAGGATTAACCAAGTAGAGTGAAGTGCCCAACTAACTGTTCCAAAACACAATTTTGAGGGATTAAAAAGTTAGGTAGAAATGGTTATTTTCAGTGCTTCTCTGTTAAATTCTCTTCTACAATAAGCTACTAAAATGCCTTGATTTTTTTTAGAAAATTTGAAAAACCTCTGCAATTTTTTGATAATCTAGAGCGAGGAAATGTCTTGATAACTCAGCCCTGAAAGGGTTATTATAGAGAATTTGCTTAATAATGATAAATTGTGCTTCAGTAACATAATGGTTGCTCAAGTATAGGACATGATTTCTTCTCATATATATACTACATATGTAATATATATATATATAATAACTTTATGTACCAAAACTTTATATAATCTTAATTCATCTTTTAAAATTTGAATTGAATAAAAATAAAGAATCGATTGTAATGAAACACCCTTTTTGAGTTAAAGCTCAGTAGCCTCTCAGCTTGCCACACCAGGACATATTAAACAATGCAGACGATGAGTCACAATGTGGCTGATGATGACCAAATATGATGTACCCCCCACACCAGAAGATGGAGAAACGACGACGTTTCGGGGGTCCTGGACCATTATTAAGTCATCACATATGACTTGATAATGGTCCAGGACGGACCGAAACATTGTCGTTTCTGCATCTTCTGGTGTGTGGTTTGGTCAACATGTATTGAACAACATTGTAAACATCAGGCTCCTGGTGCGACGCACACCGGAGACAAGCACCATCTTCACTTGCCCCACTCAACATTGGTAGCAAAGGTGTGAAAATTAAAGGTTAACCCAATACCGAAGTCAACCACCACGATAGGAAACCTAAAAAAAATTAAATTTTTTGAAATATTTTCCTACATTTCCTATATTTTTTCCTATATTTCCTATATTTTGCGGCAATATATTTTCCAAGTATCAAACAACTTTCTGAACGAGCTAATCTCAACAAAGTTGACTAGCCCGCCAATGTACACAAAGGCGATAACATATCGTACGAGTCAAGGCAATCAAAATAAGCAAGGAAGAAATCCAAAACCTCATTGCCACAACAGAGATGAGAATAGGAGGCAAGCAAGGGACTATTGAAATGCCCATTACACCATGATACAACATCAGTACGAAGGCAACTGAAAGTGGGATATCATCATGATTGCCCCCCCCCCCACCACTCCCCTTCTTGCAATCAAAATCAGAGTCAAATTCCAAAAAGAAAAAAGTTGTGCAAAATACACACAAAGCCTCCTGCTGACCCTTCGAGAGGCAGAGCCACGGGTAAGAAACCACACCAGAGCCATGTCTTATGACCGAGTCGTGGAGCACTGCCCGGAGAGTTCAAGCTCAAAGGGAGTTTGTTCTAAGGAATGAATGAAAATCCTCAGAAAAGAGAACTGTGGTTGAAGCTGATTGTCACGAGGACATCAGGGAAAGAGATTTTGAAAACAAAACTCAGGAAGAAGGAAAGCAGATAGAAAAATAAAAAAACTGGCATCCATATCATGAAGCATTATGAGGATATTTGCTCCTACAATGGACTACTGTTCCACAATGAATCAGTTTACTAACCTGTTAAAGGAAGCAAGAAGTTTCAACCAAGAGTGCAGGTCCTCACAACACATCATCAGGTAAAAATGTGAAAGACCTGGCTCCCCTTCCCGACCATCAGCAAGCTCGAAGTATTGCCTGGTTGTGTTCAAGGATGCCAGCTTAGTAGGAATTAGCTAGTTCGGAGAGTTGTTAGGCGACTGGAGCTTTCCAAACATATTCTCGCATGAAAATTAAGTCTTTGACTTAATTTTCTCATTGGGTATCCTCGGTAGTGGAATGATCTTTAATCACCATGAACTTCCCAGGTGCAATGAAGGGGCAAATGAAGATGATGTTTATCCCCCCAGCAAGTGAATATGATGCTTGTCCATGACGTGTTTAGTCTGTCATCAGGAGCCTGACGTTTCCACTGTTGTCGTATACATACCGGTGTGGTAAAACCGAGGGAAGCTACTGAGGGTGCCCACCCAGAAATAAAGGGACTAAATTATGATAATACAAATTAATAAAACAGAATGACAATGCCACAGGTATAAACTATATAAAAAAATATAAACTATATAAGTGAAGATGATGCTTGTCCATGCCGTGGAGAGGAGAAGAGAGGTTAGAGGCATTAAATATGCCAAAACTAGAAGATAGAAAAAAAAAGACACAAATGATCACTACGTAGAAAATAGTAACAGGAATCTGTAAAATTGAGTGACTATTTCATCAGATCAGCCCGCTATATCATCAGATCAACGATGTATATATAATTATGTTATATATATATATATTATATATTATATATATATATATATATATATATATATATATATATATATATATATATATATATATATATTATACTGTACATATATTATATACAGTATATACATATAGTATGTGTGTTGTACCTAGTAGCCAAAATGCAGCATTTGGCCTACTATGCAAGGCTAAGGCCTACTCAATTTGCCTAATAAGCCAAGTTTTCTTGAATTTATATAATTTTCTAATTTTCTCTTATGAAATGTTAAAGTTATCCATTTCATTATATATGAGTTAATTATTTTTAATTTGAGTTAAAACTAATGTAGATATATGACCAAACCTAACCTAACCCAACCTCTCTTAACCCAACTTAAACTAACAATAATTTATGTTCCTATTATAATGTAATAATATAAATTCAAATCAACCAATTAGAAAACTTTTTTGAAAATAAAGAAAATCACTCGGCCTATTAGGCAAATTGGGCCGTGCATAGTAGGCCGAGAAGTGCGTTCTGGCTACTACGTACGACATTATATATATATAAATATAAATATAAATATAAATATACTGTACATATATAAAACAGAGCAGGGAATGGCTTCCAAGATCTAAAAGGTACAAAAGACAGTCATGCTACAAAAAGATACGGCAGTGTATCATCCGCACCTATCCTGGGAGTCAGTTCTTTGTCTGTAAGGTTGGTGATGGTTATGGTGTTGGGGTGTGTTGTTGATGAGGGTGGAAGTGTCCAGGTCATCCACACTATGACAAGCAAGGGAAGTGCGTTGTTGTGGGATGTTGTAGAGACCTCCAGGAGTCTCAATGATGTCAGGTTCAGGTACTGGATATGTCCCATTGGTGGTACGTGGGTGTGGGACCCGCCCTTCATCCGCCGGGACTGACTGCGATCGCGTGGAGAGGGTCGGATATTGTTGGCTTCGGTATTGACTTCTTGTGTAGACAGAGCTTGGGATGTAACCACTGTGAATTCAACAAGGACTTGATGTAAATACTTGTGTTAATAAAATGACACAAAAACACTCAAAATATAAATTTCACTTAACTGGTCTAAGTGATAAGAATGGCTTTCAAAATAGTGCAATGCACTATTTTTTACAATGCAATATAAAAAAAATAGTGCAATGGATAAGGTGTCCAGTTAATTTAGAACTCCACACTAGACAAGATTTGTGGTACCAATAAATGCAAACATGTTCAATAATCTTTTAGAGTTTTTCTCTGACCAAGAGAACCCAGACTTAACCAAAATACACCTATTTTCCCAAAACGCTGTTTTACATAGGCAAAGTTATTCCAATAAAAATTAGTAATTCATGTTATCAATACAATCTATTAACATCATATTTAATTTGGGGCGGGGAAAAGAGGCAATGATAACTAAGAAAGCAAACAACAATACGGTCTATTAGGTAACAAGAACCATGCATGCTCGGCCTACTGTAATGGGTAAAAGAATCAAAGGCACACATTAGCAGACAAACATCAACTTTATATGCAAGACTAACAAATATAAGAATGGCTTTTAAGAACCTGATTAAGGAACATGGAAATGCAGGTGGAAACTACATATGCAACTGAAGCAGAGACATTAAACAAAATTTTTTCACTGTTAGAATTGTGAACAAAGGGAATGCACAAAGAAGTGAGGCGATTATATTTTGCTGGTGGAGGCAAACTCCATACAGTTTTAAATGTAGATATGATAAAGCCCAATAGGTTTAAGAACCTGCACACCAGCAGACTGAGAGGTGGACCAAAGAGTCTAAAGCTCAAACCCTGCAAAAACAATTAGGTGAGAACACAGTGGAAGTTAGACCAACCTAGAGTATATCCCCCCCAAACACTTGGTAAGAAGGAAGACGAAAATACACAAATCCCAAAGATTTGTAACAAGGCAGCTATCAAGAGATAAAAGAATGAGGTATGAGGATAGGCTAAGTGAACTCAAACTAATGACACGAAGAAACAAGAATATTTTTTTAATTTTGTTTACTTATTTAAATGTACAAGAGTTCTTACATTCTTGCACAGCCACTACCACACATAGTATTTCAGGCAAGTTCTTAATCCTAATTTTCCCAGGAATATGGCCTGCCGAATTATTTAGCAACCAGGTACCCATTCACTGCTGGGTGAACAGAAGCTACAGTTACAGGATTGGCACCAACTAAATCCTCCCCGGCCAGGAAACGAACCCAGGCCAAAACACTTGCAAAGTGCTGAGTGAGTGTTTTACCACTATACCACGGGGACTACTATTAAGAGGTAATACAGTACAACCACAATGTGGAAGATACTATGGGGAATAGTCAATGATTATAAGGATAAAAAGTGTGTTTTTGAGGTGAGGAACAACAGAACGAGGGGGCATGAGTAGAAATTGGAAACACAGATGGGCCAGAGAAATATAAGGAAAGACTCCTATACAGTGAAAGTGGTAAGCATGTGAAATTAGCATAATAAATGAAACAGCCACCATCCATAGCTTTGGGAGGTATAAATGCACCAGTTACCACAGCTATGAGGTGGGGCACTAGAGCCAAATCTTGCTTCCTGTAGTCAAAACTAGGAAAGCACACACACACACCCGCACAAGGGGACACAGGTGGAAAATGAGTACCCAAATGAGCTATAGACACACTAGAAAGAACTTTTTAGTGTCAGAGTAGTTATCAAATGGAATGCTTTAGGAAGTGATGTGGGTGGAGACAGACTCCATACACAGTTTCAAATGTAGATATGATAGAGCCCAATAGGCTCAGGAGCTTATGCAACAGTTTATGGATGGTTAGGAGGTGGGACCAGAGCTGAAACTCAACCCCCACAAGCACATCTAGTCGAGTACACATATGCATGCACAAACCTGTGAGGTCTGTTGGGACTTGCTGATCTTGAGCATACAGATCCATTTGGCTGCTTATGAGGGCTTGTTGGTGCTGAATGAACTGCTCCAGAAGATATGCTATGACCCCCTGGCGACAAGTCCCGTCTCGCTCTCGCTCTCACAGGTGTTGACGGAAGCAGGGGAGAACGCGGAGACACAGGAGGGTGGGACGACGGTGCGGGAGACAGACTTACGCCTTCCACATTTAGATGATCGTGGTGAGGATCCCGTAAGCATTCCCGTGGAGAGTCTTGACTGCTGCTAATTGTTGTATTGTTTGTGTTTGTGTTCTCCTCATAACTACCCACACCTGGAACAATAGCCACATTATATTACACACCAGGAATGACACTGCATATTACTCTATTTCAGTAATAATACTATTTTATTTTGAAGTGTAACTATTGGTTTTTAATCTGCCAATATCTTAAACTCAGGTATTAAGAGTTTTATGACAACAGTAATTTGTAATACAGTATAAATGACAGTTAAATACCAGAAGTGGACAATGCCTAATTTGTACAAATGTTAAGCTGCTTTAATAGTAAGAACTATTATTTTCAGTAAGTCAGTAAGTTTGTATCATTAATGATAAAAATTACAATGATAATGCTGATATTTAACATCATATTTATCCATTAGACCTTGAGACAATAAACAAAATATGGAAACTTTTTTTTTCATTTATTATGCACCCTATACCTATCTCAAGGGTGGTAGCAGAAAACATTAGAGAGGGACATAATGGGTTCAGGAACTGAATGCTATTAGCAATTTCAGTAGAGAATCTACACACGCTTACCCTCGCTGTCTGATACAGGTCGAGGCTTTTTCTTCTGCTTCGGCATACCACTTGCTGTGGCTGCCTGCTTGGACTTTGCAGCTTTCAATTTATGTTCCAGGTCTTTTAACCGCTGGGCAGATTGCTGGTATGTAATTTTTCGTTGCTTTCTCAACCCTTTCCTCGTTGATGTCTCGGTGGCCAATCTTAAAGCAGCACTGGTAATTTTACCTTGAATTTCATACTCTAATTCTAATGCTGCTACAGTTTCCTCCTGTGGAAAAGTTGGAATGTCCTGAATGCAAATACACATAATACCAGAAGTACTAATACCATATTAGTATAATAGAAATATAATACCATAATCCCATAATATTTTATGCAGGAAGACACTACTGCATAAAAACCTGCAGTAAATATGATTGTTTTACTGTATTTAAAACAACTTACTGAATTAATAAATTTCTCTATAATATACAGTATACTAAGTGCTTTCTGCAATACCATAAAAAAAAAGATCAAGTAAACCCCACAGATATTTATTTCTACACAACCCCACAGTAAACAAATTCCTTACCTGTTTGTTAATAATTTTATTAATAAGGTTTTCACTAAGTGTAAACGATGTACCAACTCTCTTGCGTACAGTTGGCGGTGGTTGACCAGGTGTTATTGGATATTCAGGAGGCAACGCCCCAGTTAACTCTCCTTCCCGCAAACATAATAACCTGAGTTCTTCCTCCTTTTCTCTTATCTTCTCTTGTAGTGCATCTCGGCGCTGCTTGAGGGCACTATGCATTTCCATCCTGGCTTGGTGGAGGCTCTCTGTACTGGCACTGTCTTCTAGTGAAAAATTATTCAAAATGTATGATCCACATTACATACAGAAATAATGATAAAATATAGTGTTCAGTAGGAGCTCGCTAATCCAATTTCTAGTACCCTGAACCTTTGTGTAACCAGAATAAAATTGAGTTCAAGTTCTTGATTATTAAATTTGAACAGAAATTTGGATTGCTAGGTTTTGTGGTTGGGTTATTGAACCACATGCAGCAAAGTGTAGGAACTCATAACAGAAATTACAGTACAGTACATTAGAAATTAATACATTGGAACAATGTATTAATAAAATAAAATAAAGTAATATAATACCTAATATTATAATAATTAATAATAGATTGTTAAAAACTACATGTACAGGGTGTATAGTGTATTTCTCTGCTAAAACAGCGGACTTTTTCCAACTGGCAGCCTGTGTATCGTGCCCCGAGCAGACCCAACTTGACCCCCTTAAATCTGCTCACCCGTGTTTTCCCCCCCTTGTCTGATTCTACATAGTGCCACGCTATTCCTGATAGATATTCTTTCCTATGTTTTTTCTTCAATATAAATATTAAAATTTTTTTGCTAAGACCATGTCTGGTAACAGCAGCAATCACTATGTAGGTGTTAAGAAGAAACAAAGTTATGGTACTGTATCAATTAAAGATAAGCTAAATGTGGTTGAACTTTGTGAAAATGGTTGTTCCATTGAGATAGATGATTCTGTCCTTCATCAATTTGGCAGATCGTCATTAAACTGTGCTAATTATGTGAAGATCCATCCCTAACCATGTCAATTTATCTTTATTGTACAGTATGTGGAAATATATATAATGTTGCTTGTGGTACAAAAAATCATGAATTAATTTTTTTTTAATTTATCATAAGATATGTGGCTAATTCAAATGTTCTGATGATTCGATTGGGGTCATTCCCATATGATTCAGATTACGTAGTGTAAACAGTATATAATAACGATGCACAAATTTACTCAAAACAGGACAAGATATCATATGCACCAGGTTATCTAATTTCAACAAAACTTGACTAAACTATGTCTTTACCTGCTAAAGAATTGTTGACCAGAGATGAATGTGACCCAGATCTAGAAAGATTTGACGATGAGGAGTGTGTAGAGAGAGAGACGCAACTGCGAGACAATTCCACAGCCAGTTCTGGTAGTTCTCGAACCCCAGTTGCCTCACTCTGTAAAAGCATTTATCATTATTATAATTAATGATCACATATATAGGAAATACATGGCCCTATAACATACATAACCTTTTAATATACATGCTTCTACAACACACACGACTGTACAACATACATGGCACTACAGCATACATGGCCCCACTACATATATGAATCTACAACATACATGCCACTACAACATATACTGCCCACAACAAAGTTACCACTGTAATCAGATACAGTACTCTGTATTTTTATCAATAAATACAATATTTTTATTATTACTGTATTATTATTATTAATTACAGTACAGAACTGTAGGAGTTTGGTAATTCCAATTCAGTTTCCGAAACTCCAAGTAATCTGAATGAATTCATGTCCAAGATTTTACCTTTCTCTACCTTTTAACTCAAATAGGAATTCAGGTTAAAAAGCTATACCGAACAAGAAACGCAAATAAATTCAAGCTTCAGTGCTTGCCTTTTCATATTTAATAGAAATGCGGGTTACTGTACTGCAATTTCTACCAAATGAGAAAGTCAAATAAAGTTCAAATGCTTGACTCAAATAAAAATTCAGATTTCTGCCGAACAAGAAACCTGAATAAGAAACCTTCTCGGTAAAAAAAAAGTCACACAATTCGAATAGGCTCCCAATGATTTGGATTACTGAGCGTATGCAGCACAGTACAATATTTATAACCTAGAAATAATATATACTAATAAATATTGCGCATACCCTGGAGGTTTTACGGTCGAGGTAGAACTGATGCTGTGCGATCGCCATGGACCAGATTGCCTTGCAGAGCGCCTGGGTCTCTGCGAACCAAACGTAAACACTAACGTTGCCAGGGCCAAATGTCCTTCTTGACACCGATACTCTGCAAGTCATAAATCATAAAGTTTAGAATACAAAACTTGATACGCTGCAAGGTATACAATAATTTTTTTTTTTTTTTTGTTTGAGATATATACAAGAGTTGTTACATTCTTGTACAGCCACTAGTACGCGTAGCGTTTCGGGCAGGTCCCTGGAATACGATCCCCTGCCGCGAAGAATCGTTTTTTCATCCAAGTACACATTTTACTGTTGCGTTAAACAGAGGCTACAGTTAAGGAATTCACATAGTTTGGAACACAAGACTTAAAAAATCATTAGCAACATGGCAAAAGTAACCATTTACATGCAATACTGTACTGTATTTGTGAATAATGTAATAAAAAGTTGCCTTATGTTAATGTATCTGTTAATGTATTATAGTATTAAAAATATTATGGTACTGTACATCTAAAAATTTTAACATTTAATGATTTTACATTTGTGGCTGTTTACCAGTAGGAATATTCAAGAAAACTTAATCTAGCATATGAAGAATTCATGGAAAAGTATCAACTATTCAACAAAACAATAGAATTTTACTCTATAAATTAATATTGGATAATATTTCAGTATTTTACTGAATTGTATTGTAGATTTGCTTATATACATAGACATAATATACATATACAGTGGTGTACTGTATTTGGACAGATGACCACATACTTTCTGGAGACTACTTTTCCGGATACGCCAGTTATTTGTTTTGGGTTTATAAGAATACAATTAATGATAGCATGAGGCAAGCAGGCAGTCCAAATAAAAATGTGCAATAAATTGGATGGGCCTAGTTTGCCAAGTGACTGTACTGGGCGTCACCTACCCACGCAACGTCATAAACCCATGGCCCATTGTTTTGATTGTCATGAGGCATTGGAGCATATATTCCAATGATTTAGTTGAACATATCCACAAAACTTAGGAATATCCCTGCTCCACATTGGCTCCAAATACAGTCCTTTTATCAGTGAATGCTTCAACAAGCAAGAAAACTAAGAAAAAGTGGTCAGTGGTGACATTCAAAAAGAACGTTGAACAAAATAAGGTGGAGAGTGGGATCTCGGTGTTATTTGCACTGACTATGAAGTGAGCAAGACCACATGTTCAGACATTAATAAGGCTATATCTATCATTTTTTACTATTTTTTAGAAGTGAAAATGATAGACATACATAAGAGAAATGCAGCAAGCAGAGCTAAGGGGCAAAGTGTTGATAATGCAGTGTGGGGAGTTGAACGAGTACTTCAACATCCGAGGGTACCTCATCACCATCACTCTCCACTCAGTCAACTCAGCACCACCTCTACTATCATCCACCACCTCTACTATCCACCTCTACTATGTAAATGACTATGCACCATCAACAATAATATTCAGCTTCATAGGCATATCAGAACTTCTCATATTGGTGAGTACAAAGTACTATACAGTACTGTTGAATTTTTTTGTCTAGATTTTTACGATGAATAACCACGTATCCATATACAACAAGTTATTAATTTTGTCTTGGTTTCGAGGCGTCCGGAAAGCATGTTATCATCTGTATAATGATGGACTGCAAGCGACTGAAGTGAAAAATAAATGTAGGTTTTTACCTAATCTGCTAGTACTCAACTACAGTAATATAAAAAAATAAATAAATAAAAAATACTCACTGCGTGGTAGCTTCGGTGATGGCTGCTAGAAGGTCATCATGGTGATGGTCACGGGAGTCTTCAATTGCATCCTCGTACAGGTTAAACGAACTCAGGGTGTGCACCACTCTACTCGGACAAGACAACACCATGCATCACAACACCATGCCAACGTCACACAACTTACACACTAACTCACCAACTGATTGCAGGGCATTTGACTGTGTTCACAGTTAGCATAACAGCATTCAAGATTCAGTGAAAATTTACTGAGAGATATTTAAATCAAGGCTACAGCAGCTTTAAGTTGTAAAATGATGGTTGTAATAAAAATCCATCATTTCTACAACTGGGGTATTAATAGCTCAAGCTATGGTTATAATATTCAGATATGGGACTTAATACTAAGCATTATCTTGTGATACTAGCCTAAACTAAGGTGACTGCCATTTAAAAACAAATTATTATTCAACCCCATTTAAATGTCAGGTGCAACACTTTCCCCTGCATTAAGTTCTGCAAATGCATACACTAATAGATTCACTAAACATTTTATAAACATCAATTTTGTCTAAATATCTACCAAAGTACAGTGCTGTCCGACAATTCTAACAAATGAATGATAATACTTTACAGTACAGTATATGATTAACACTATCAAGTGAACGTGAAACATTACCACTAACAATATAAAGTACTGTACTCATGTTAACCTCTTTCATTACATCAGTACTCTCTCTCTCTACCTAGCAACGTATGCAGTAAAGGTGGGAGGGGGAACATTTTATATACCGTCATCTGTATGTAAACATCAGTTATTAAGAAAAACAAAAATTTCTACAGAGTTCCCTTTCCGAATTTCAATGCAATGCAAGCAGTGAATAAATAAGCTTAGGTTTGTTTGTCATTAAACAAGAGATGTTTGCAATAATGTATGGAGAGCTGAGGCAAACACTTATACATAGGAACAATTTAGTACAGTAACTTTTAAGTAGAGTAATTATAGGTATTTATAATCGTTAAAACTTAATGAAATTTTATTCATTAGTATACTTTAAAGTTTGTTAATACAATTTATCATTCCTTAGATTGGAAATATGCCAGTGGAAAGTGAAGGTGATAAAGAAGAAAGGTTTCTAAGGGTGAGGGAATTGTGGCAAACAAGGCTGATTTCCATTCATAAAAATTATAATACTGATGTTGAGGAAAATTGTAGGAAAAATATTTAGTTGGACTCCTACAATACAATTTTTTTTTAAGATTTTAAGGGGCACCAATTTTAATAGCTATAAATTTAAGTTCAAGCTGGACATATCACAAAGACAAATTAATACTTAATTACTTGGACAAATATTTGTGAATCTATAAATTCATGTGAATGGGAATTACGGCAAGGAAAGGGAGGGATTCAGCAGCAGACTGAAAAGCCGACTAAGACAGCCACAGCAGGTGTAACCCTGCTGAACATTCTCACACACTGCCAAGTAGCCAAGGCAGACAGGTCAAACTTTTCTCGGGATAGTCAGTGAGCCTTTCGTAGTTCAAAATTAGTAATGAATTGATACTAATTACCATTACAAGTATCAACTACATTCCTAAATTTCACTAAGTCATTCTTTTTAAAGCTGAACTGCACAAATGGCTCTCACCTCTTTGGATCATGAACTTCTATAGAAAATTTTCTTTCTCGAAAGTAGAGATTCTCCAGCTGTTTCCACAAAAAGACTCGTCGAGGTTTTCTCTTGTCAAGGAAATCGTACTGTGCAATCCCGTTATGACTGAGGCCAAGGTACCATGGAAGGTTGGATCGGTCTCGCACCTCGTAGTAATGGATGCCGTAGGTAGGAAGCCGCTCCACCAAGCTCATATACCTTAAACAAATAATTCCATGGATGTAGTTTATAGAAGTTATAAGCTGTTGACTGATTACAGAGTAAGAGTACCGTATACACTAATTTTCTTGATGTATCAGGAAATTGTAAATGCTTACATCTATTAATGAAGATTTGTGTATTGATAAGAAAGAGTATTTTGGAAATAATCAATCTTTTAGACACAATGTACCATTTACTATTTTTATTTATAAATAATATTTCCCAATGAGATGGGGGGTTCATGTAGAAAAAAAACACATACACAAAATACTGTATTCATGAAATATTCAATAGCACACATTAAATCCGAGTATATATGGCTACTTATACATGGTTCTACATTTATGAGAAGAATATCATCTAGGATAGGTACAATTAGATGCTATAAAGTTTTGCTAATTGCATTGACTTCTAAATCCTAGTGAATAATTATGTAAAATGGGATGTTGCCCATCATAATCCAGGTTACAATGCCACCTGTACTTGAATAGATCATGAACTTAAGATCACCATCTCAGTTGCATTAAAATCTCAAATGTTTTCATTCACCTGGACTGTAGTAGACTCGAACCGTGGACCCCACGTGAGTGTGGCCTAAACTCTAACGACCGAGCTATTGCAAATGACAGTTATTTTTGCAATAGCTGACAAAATGACAGCAATAGCTGTCTTAATAAGTTAAGTTATTTCTCAAATGTTTATTGCCTTTAATTAAAAAGCCACACAGCCTTTCACATCTCACACATGTATGCACTCCACACATGCCACACACAACTACTGTACACTACACACTTAACACCTTTGTGCACACACTCTTACACACCATACACACACACACACATGCCTCACACCTGGTGTATGTGTGGGTGAGAGGCGAATAGCTACAAGAGGTGTAGGTTTGAGGTACATTTGGCCAATTAATTTATTTGTATTTTTCTCTAGCACCACGAGACAATCATTGGCATCATATAAGCATCGTTTTGTTGTAAAACTCATTAGTTTTCTCTGTGAGTGTGACTCGTCGCTCATGTTCCGTTTACTAACAAGATTTAATTAACATGATAATGTTATGGAATGTTCAACAGTATCTGGTGGCCCAGATAGAGTTTCTTCTTATAATGTACAGTGTGCCAGTGTGCTTCAAGGCACTTTTGACAATGCACGTCCATATTGGAAAGCACGGACATGAAAGTTTTAAACAGTTCCTATATTATTAAAGTGTGTCATTTGCAGGGATGACCCTTATCGTGTTTTAAATATAATCGGATTAGGAGAAAAGTGAACTATATTATAAAATAAAAATCGAAAAACGAAAATTTGTATACAGTATTATAAAACGAGAACTTAAATAATGACTATGTCGGATACAGAGCAGGTGGGACACTGCTGTATGAAGACTTAATGGTGTCCTAGAGTTAGTTGACGAGTGTAGAAGTATAGCTGGTTTATGAGTGCAAGAGTAGAGTTGGTTGATGAGTGGAGTTGATAGTGAGTGACCTGGGAACAAGAGAACACGAAGAAAGGAACCATTGAGACAGGCAGGATGCATACAAGGAATGTCTGATTAACAACACCAAGCAGATGTGCGGAGCTAAACAGTGGTAGGAAACTGAGTGAAACTGTTTAGTGGTGCGAATGAGAAAACAAATTGAAAGAGTAAGTGTTATGCAAAACAATAAGCAGAAAAAATGACTGAATGAAGTTAGGAAGAAAAATGAAACAATTTAAAAAAAAATGAATGAGGAGTTTGGAAGAAAAGTGAAAAAAAATGTTTAGAAACAAAAGAAGCTCTTTTGAAAAGAAGGAAGTGCAGAAATTGGAAATGTGTTAAATAATATACAGTACAAATATTAAAGACAAGCATGGGAAAAATGATAAACGGGTGAAGCAGAAATTAAAAGTCGACGGAGAGATTATACACTGAAAGTGTAAATGTGCACTTGTTCAGGTGTCATATACAGACATGTGTATACTCACTGCAGAATGGCTTGACCTCGAGAATATCCCAGTAGCGTCCGGTGCTCTTCAACTACCCGCTCCTCGCTGAAAACAAAAGACAAGCAGCTAAAATATCACTGTAAAATTAGGATTACATCACAACAAAAGCCAAGCACAACTTAAATAATTAATGGATCATCTCCCCCCACCATGTCCTAGTCGAGGACCGGGCCGCGGGGACGCTAAACCCCGAAATCATCTCAAGGTAACCACAAGGTTAGTCATATATACTGTACTGTAATTCACACTATACTGTATGTATGTAAACGGTTTCTAACCTAGTAACGGTTTCTAGTTTCTAGTAGAAAGCCTGTTTACTGTCCAACAGACATGATCCTTACTGGAAAAATGTGACTGATTCTCCCTTGTAAGCTGTTATACTATTCTATCCTTCAACCACAACTTTATCTAGAAATATGCAAAAGCATTTTAAGCTTACAAACGACAATGGTCAATTTTTAACACATGTGAAATAATAAAAAGAATTTAGTACAAGTTAGCAAACAAAATTCTTAATACAAAATTACAGTCCTGGAATAACCTATAGGAAATGGTGGAGAACATATACGTAAAAATAAATACAAATAAACAGGACCTAAATACCTATTCGAGACATAAAAATATGTCTCGAATGTCCTCATACCACTATATTTACTGAACTTGCAAAAAAAAAACCACTCCCCTGAAAAGTTAATTTAAGTAAACTAATAAATACCTTATAGAATACAAACTACGGCTCATTACGACGGTAATACAGCTTTTACCATGGCAAAGCTTGCCACCGACAGTCATGGTCTTTCCTCTCTAAAATGTAATGCTGAATCCCCCTCCAAACCATCATCTATCCCCCCTCCAAACCACCATCAACCCCCTTCCCCACCCCCTACCCTCAGTCACCCCTTACCCCCAATGCACACAAACAAGCTGCTCCCTAGTTCGACAGGTACTAATGACACCATTTCACCTGGGGAGGGGGGGCGCCACCCCCCACTACTCCACACACAATCGCACCCCCTGTGTATACACACACACACGCGGTGGGAAAAAACGTTCATTTTGGACCCCGGACACAACGTCCACCACACAGGGGAAAAAAATCAAACTTTCAATTATCGTTTCCAATGGTCTTTCCCGAAGATATTTTTTTGGGGGGGACGGGGAGGTATTGGTGGCAAAGAACTACCTCAAAGCAAAATCATCAGCATTCCAGGATACAATAGAGTTTTATAGGTACTAAACATATCACCACCCAGCCTCACCATGCCAGGTCGGCTTAAAACCTGTGATTATCCACCTCGCGGTCAAGACAGATTTATACACTGAACGACAGGCGATTTAGGCCAGCTGGGTGGTCACGATATATTAACCTCCTAACCATGCTACTGATTTCAGGGTGTTATTGGGTCCTGCTGAGCTTCCAGATATGACTAGGATCGACTGGGCCTTGCGGGTATAGAAATATTAAAAGTCTTTCCAAAGATATCTGCTTGATGGGGTTCTGGGAGTTCTTCTACTCCCCAAGCCTGACTTTTTTGTTGTTGTTGTTTTAGATTCAGCTACTGGAAACTAAAAGTTCCAAGTAGCACGGGCTATGGTGAACCCGTTGTGGACTTACCTGGCACAGGAGCGGGGCTGTAAGTTTTTTGCCAAGCCAGGCCTCGCTGGGTGTTCTTCTACTCCCCAAGCCCGGCCCGAGGCCAGGCTTGACTTGTGAGAGTATTAAACAGCGTGTGAGTATTACAACAAAATTTTCCAGCGCTGTGATGTTTATGCTATTGGATCCGCTATAGAGTGAGATGTGTGGGAAGGGTAGGAAGGAGAAAGCGGGAAAGCACCTCACCTCGTTAGAGTTAATTAACTTCTCGTACACACACCCTTGAGAGGTTCCCACGATGTCACCCGAAAATCTCATGCAGTTATCTCTAAGGTCAATCTCTAACCCTACACGCCATTTCTTTCTCTCTCTCTCTCTCTCTCTCTCTCTCTCTCTCTCTCTCTCTCTCTCTCTCTCTCTCTCTCTCTCTCTCTCTCTCTCTCTCTCTCTCTCTCTCTCTCTCTCTCTCTCTCTCTCTCTCCCACACACACACACACACACACACACACACACACACACGCCTACGGGAGCTAAACTTCACGTCCATGGAAGACAGAAAAGTAAGGAGAGACGATCACCACCTACAAAATTCTCAGGGGAATTGACAGGGTGGGCAAAGATAAACTATTTAGCATGAAGAAATGTATATGTTTATCACTCAGAATGTTCGGTAATATGTTTATTGTTTGTAATGCGGGTCTGTACTGAACGGGGTGAGAATAGCTTGAGCTACCTCATTCCTTTGGTTGTATTAATATCTCAATAAACGTATTTCAATTTTAATTTAGCAAGGGTGGAACACGAATAAGATTTCGTGAGCTTCTTTCAGTCTCCCGAGAGAAAATCCTACCCGAGATTACCACTGCACCTGCGTCAACCGACCAGTAATATTTACTTTGCCTCTGACACTTACAGCAGGAAGCTCCCACAAGCCCTTGTACCGTATGCTTCCTCCCATGGTGATACTCTACTCCCTCCCACGGTAATACAAGACTCCCACACACACAGAACACAACAATTGACCAGCGAAGCGCAGAATACTTCCCTGGAAGAGGCTCATTTGCGACAGACCAACAAGAGGATTTCTAAAGGAGGGAAACTGGCAAGTACTGTATAGCGATGATGGTAATGAAAGGGAGGGAGGGAATGAGAGAGAGGGAGGGAATGAGAGAGAGAGGGAGGGAATGGGAGAGAGAGAGAGGGAGGAGGAAGGAAACGAACGGGAAGGGGAAAGTAACTAGGAAGCAAACACGGCCAGCCATCCACCCACCAGATGAGGAAGTGGCTAAAAAGTGGCAATACCGTAGCTCTTGGAAAGCGTCGGTGCGTAAAGTGGTGGTGTGATGGGAAAGTACCAGTGTGGGGAAGGAAAAGTACCAACGCGGAATACGAAGGGGTTCAGGGATTATGGTGGCGAGGGGAAGGGTTTAGAATGTGGTGATGGTGGTGGTGGCAGTAAGAGTGTCGTTATGATGGTGGTGATGGGGGGGGGGGGGAGGGGAAGAGGCAGGGAATCCAAGCGAATAGAACCTCTACCTTACCCCCCCCCCACCCCCCGTCAACCAACACACACACATCCCAATTTACACCCCCCAACAGGTTATAAACTTGTGTGACTATATACCCCTCTTGCAGGACAGACGCTGACTACTACCACCACCACCAACAACAACACTACTTCTACCACCCACGACATCAACCACAACAACTAGCATCAGTGGTTACCTCATCTCCACTACAATCCCCGTCAGACTTAACCAGAGATCACAGCTTCAAACACCAGGGGCCAGCTACCCACCAGGGAGTAGAATAGGTATAGTAGCTACCCACCACCACCACCACCACCACCACTACTACCACCATCATAACTACCTACGAGACGCCACACACAAAAAAACGGCTACTGTTGCTCCACTCAAACGGGACAATGGTTTTAAACTCGGCCATTAATCTTGGGCGAAACAGAGCTGGCGGGGTGACCGCTCCTCACTTCCATATCAAGGCCTTTTAAGATGGGTGGGGGAGAAGGGGGGGTGTTATTGGGGTGGGGTTTAAGGGTGAGGGGAGGGGTTGTGGGGGGGGGGAGTGGGAGGCATTTGTTTGGGACCAAAGAAAGGGGGGGGGGGGGGTATTTAGGGTTCTTATATATATTTGGAGAGGAAATGGAATGGAAGAAGGAATGGAACGGTGGGAACATACAAGTTGGAATAGGAAAGAGGGAAGGAGGGAGGGAATGAGATATGGAGGAAAGGAATGGGTAGAGAGAGAGAAGGAAATGAATGAAAGAGGGGGAAGGGCACAGACGTGACAGACGTGACCTTGAAGGCTTCAGGTCACTCTTGAAGGTCAGGCTCCTCCTCAAGGTCAGGTCACAGGTCACTCTTGAAGGTCAGAGTGTATGGAGCGACGCATCTAACCTGACGGGGGAGGGGAGGGGAGGGGAGGGGGGAGGGGAAATCTCGAGTCGCTCAGTAAACTCAATAACAACGAGGATGATATCTTGTGAGACTCAGCGGGATTCCAACGAGTGGAATTGGCGCCAAAAACGCGGGGAGGAGCCGCCTTGGAAGTAAACAGTAGATGAGAAAGTGATCAGAAAGCGGTAATAAGGATTGGACAGTGGCAGTGCGGTGGGGGAAGTTTCCCGGATCAGTGGGGGAAGTTTTTCGGAGCAGTGGGAGAAGTTTCCCGAAGCGGTGGGGGAGAAGTTTCCCGGAGCGGTGGGGGAAGTTTCGCCGGGGCGGTGGAGGGGAAGTTTCGCCGGGACGAAGAAAGTTTCGGATGGACGAAAATATCTTCCTGTAGAAAGACATTTTCTTCTGTTATTATTCTTAACATACTTAAGTACATGGGGCCAGATTCACGAAGGAGTTACGCAAGTACTTACGAACGTGTACATCTTTCCTCAATCTTTAGCGGCTTTGTTTCCAATTATTAATCAGTTTACAAGCATGAAAACTTGCCAATCAACTGTTGTTATTGTAATAAACAGCCTCCTGGTGCTTCGGAGCTCATTAACTGTTTAATAATTGTAAACAAAGCCGCCAAAGATTGAGAAAAGATGTACAGGTTCGTAAGTGTTTGCGTAACTTCTTCGTGAATCTAACCCATGGGCATTTATGCAGCTACCGTGGACCATCTGAAGCAAAAATTGTGTCAAGAGCTAGTAGCCATGTGGTACTAAAATACCCACAGGGTGATGGTCTGAGACCCTCAAGAGTCCTGTGGGACTCTTAAACCTCCTACGGGCTCACCATAGCCTGTGCTACTAGAAAGTTGTTCCGAGTAGCTGAATCTATAACAACAACAACATCTTAAACCTCACAGTTGAAGCACTCACATCAATGTTTGCGCAAGATGCAACATGAATGAGGAAAGTTATAGCACATCATTACTGTAAGGTAATATTGTGGAGTAGGCCGAACCAGCATGGAACCCCCGCATAAATAAAGTAGAGCAAGTCCAAAAGATATGCAACGAGTCTCTTGTCTCAACTGGAAAAGATAAAAGAGGATACTACACTAGAGGACAGTTCGTCAATTTCGCGAGCCAAATACGACGATTTTTGGCCATTTTCTAAACGTCAAAATGCGACGCGCTATTAGGAAGACGGGTTGATTCATTAGCTCGAGAATTATATATAACAAGAAACCGAAGACTGATACAGACATCTCCCGTCACGCAGGATGCAGTCGCACCTCCACAGATCTCCAGTATCAGCTCTTGATACTGGTAATGGCTCAAAAGGGCCACCACTTACGAGCTATTCATGCCCGTGCCACCTTTTGGGTGGATTAATCTTCATCAATCAATCGAAGATTGATAGTCACTGGGCTAGAAATCTTGCTAGTTGTGGACCCAGGAGACACATGAAGGTGAGCATACGACCTAAGACTCATAAAGCAGCCCGGGCGGTCCCGCCTTAAACATTCATATGAGCGGAGTCTCAGCCGGGAAAAATCTATTATGTTAATATCACAGTATCTGAGTCCCTTCCCCCTTCTGCCACCCCTCTTCCGCATTCACGGAAACAGAAAGGGTAAGAGACGTACAGAGAGAGAGAGACATGCAGAGAGACGTACAGAGAGAGAGAGAGAGAACGCATAACCCAGCAATAGCAAGCTCCAACCATTGTGCAATAAAAACCGCCATAGGTGGATGACATAAAAGGGGTCACATAAATATCTGACGTTCCCCGGCGCGGATCATAAACTCATCCGAAATGGGCGCCATGGGAAGGCGGTCGACGGCCCTGGGTGTTGGACCAACGTTGCACCGCCCTCCCAAAGGTAAAACTTCGCCCGCAAAAACCTTCCATGGGGAAGGGTGTTCTCTGTTCCAGGGCCAACCTTTTCCGCGCACCACTTCCAGGCCTAGCAAATGTTCTTAGACCCTGGCGAGCGAGGGGTAGAGGGCGGGAGGAATGAGAGACAAAGAGAACGGGATTGTTCTTCGGCTCAGTTCGTTCCCAGTTCGCCCAGCAGTAACTAGGGACAAGGGACAGGGGGGAGGTCTTGTGCTAGGGGAGTGTAGGGTAAGGCTTGACAATTTTGCAGAGATGATGATAACACAGATGTTGAATTGATGACTATTCGTGCTTCGAGAAATAGATTGAGTTTACGGGTTTTCCAGCTTGCCTGTCAGGGATGGATAAAGACGCCTAGTTGGAGAGCGGGTCGCGGGGGGCCATTGATTCCCGGAACCTGAGGGCTGCACAAGGGAGACCGAGCAGGACCAGGGAAGGGTACTCACCAGTACTGGAGAGAAGGGTGCTCCCTAATTACACTGGTGGGTATCAGCTGGTTCTTCTTCAGTTGAGTGCGGGTACACGATTCACTGCAAGTAGACATGTGTGAAAATAAGACATGTATGCGTATGTATGAAAGTAGACATGCATACTGAGATGAGCGCTAGTGTATAACATACTTATCCTTGCAAAAGGTCAAGTCTTATTCTAAGTTATTAATACGTCAATTTCAGTATTAGTATTATCAATTATTATTTATTTACCCTACAATTTAACGGTAATAATACAAATTATATGATAATCAGGCATAAACACAGGAGAGGGAGCCCTTGGGCAAGCCAGGTGAGGTAAGGTAACCCAGGTAAGGTAAGGTAAACCTACAGGGAGAATGTATACTCACTGGATAAAATCCCCGTAGGCTGCCTGTAGAGCAAGGGCTGCTAGTCTGAAGGCCGTGTCGCTCTCCACCTCCAATCCTCCCTGCAACAGAATACCTTCGTCAGTCCTCAACACTTACATCACAAACTCCTTCATGTGCTAAATCAATGTGGTTAAGGTACGCGCTTCAATTGTAATAAGAATGAGGTATCTTTCCCCGCATAAGCAGGTTGTCAAAACCACACACACACACACACACACACACACACACACACACACACACACACACACACACACACACACACACACACACACACACACACACACACACACACACACACACACACACACACACACACACACACACACACACACACACACACACACACACACGCTCCACACAAAAAATGTCACAAGTACAAAAATCAGGAAAGATTCCTTGCTTCCTTTACAGGTTGAATGGCCTGGGGGAGTGAGGCGTTGACTTGAAGAGCTTCAACGGCTGTTGCTGTCTGACGCGCCGCCAGCACCACTAACACCACCAACCAGCACCGCTAGCACCACCAGCACCGCTAGCACCACCAGCCAGCACCACCACCAGCGCCATCAGTGAGTGGTGGAGGAGGACGATACCATCAGCATGGTCACTCCCGGCCAAGATAATGTCCTCCAGAGCATTAAAGTTTCCCACACACCCACAGCCCCACTGTTTCCACCCTGGATGCTCCCCCTATTCCCCAAGATTTACCCCCCACCTAATCTCCCCTATCAAGGCTTAGTAAGACTGGAAAACATGGCGCTTTGTGAGATCGAGAAATGTAAATCCTCAAAGCCCTTCAACCATCAACATGGTCTCCACCCACACCAGGAGAGCAACCCACCCATAACCTGTCCTTCTTTCCCATAATTACATCCCCGCCTTACATTTTTGCGGGCCAAATATGACAGCCAGGTCTGAAGGATCCATCAAACTCTGACACTCCATCATCACATTCCGCTATACTGCTCGTCTACCGACCCACGAGGCTCCCAACCTCATTCCTACTGTCCCGCCATCATTCTTCGCTGCTCCTAAATCATTCCAATCGTCCATCTACTCACTCGTGGCCCCATTCAATGGGTGCGCACTGTGAGGGTATTGTGGTAGACTTGTATGGGTGGGTAGCAGGTGGTCAGCTGAGAATTGGTAGGTAGCCAGGCTGGGGGTAGGAACAACACGCGCCGTTACAACAGGCAGCCGGATAGAGGCCACTACAACAGGTAGCCGGGTAGAGGCCACTACAACAGGTAGCCGGGTAGAGGCCACTACAACAGGCAGCCGGGTAGAGGCCACTACAACAGGTAGCCGGGTAGAGGCCACTACAACAGGTAGCCGGGTAGAGGCCACTACAACAGGTAGCCGGGTAGAGGCCACTACAACAGGCAGCCGGGTAGAGGCCACTACAACAGGCAGCCGGGTAGAGGCCACTACAACAGGCAGCCGGGTAGAGGCCACTACAACAGGTAGCCGGATAGAGGCCACTACAACAGGCAGCCGGGTAGAGGCCACTACAACAGGTAGCCGGGTAGAGGCCACTACAACAGGCAGCCGGGTAGAGGCCACTACAACAGGCAGCCGGGTAGAGGCCACTACAACAGGCAGCCGGGTAGAGGCCACTACAACAGGCAGCCGGGTAGAGGCCACTACAACAGGCAGCCGGGTAGAGGCCACTACAACAGGCAGCCGGATAGAGGCCACTACAACAGGTAGCCGGGTAGAGGCCACTACAACAGGTAGCCGGGTAGAGGCCACTACAACAGGTAGCCGGGTAGAGGCCACTACAACAGGTAGCCGGGTAGAGGCCACTACAACAGGCAGCCGGATAGAGGCCACTACAACAGGTAGCCGGGTAGAGGCCACTACAACAGGTAGCCGGATAGAGGCCACTACAACAGGTAGCCGGGTAGAGGCCACTGCAACAGGCAGCCGGGTAGAGGCCACTACAACAGGTAGCCGGGTAGAGGCCACTGCAACAGGCAGCCGGGTAGAGGCCACTACAACAGGTAGCCGGGTAGAGGCCACTACAACAGGTAGCCGGGTAGAGGCCACTGCAACAGGCAGCTGGGTAGAGGGCACTACAACAGGCAGCTGGGTAGAGGGCACTACAACAGGTAGCCGGGTAGAGGGCACTACAACAGGTAGCTGGGTAGAGGCCACTACAACAGGTAGCCGGGTAGAGGGCACTACAACAGGTAGCCGGGTAGAGGCCACTACAACAGGTAGCCGGGTAGAGGCCACTACTGTAATGACCCTGATTGTAATACCTCGCCTTGTATCTATCTCGACCGCGCACTCCGCTACTACCACTGAGCTAACCGTGCAATCTCCGCTCTTTCTATGGTAATAACAGATGCTATACCGATCATATAAGATGTTAACACTCGGGCCGTCATACGAAGACGTAAACCAGTACACAGAGGAAGGAGAGAGAGAGGAAGAGGGAGGCAGAGCGAGAGGAGAGAGAGAGGAGAGCGAGAACGAGAGCAAGGGAGGGAGAACGAGAGCGAGTGAGGGCGAGGGAGAGTGAGACACTAGTGAGGGAGAGTGAGACAGAAAGATAGAGATAATCGTAGTCACAACCTATCGTATGAGTTACCGAGTGACGCTGCCACCACCCTGAGTTACCGGACAGGGGACCGGAGTGAGAGTCGTAGGTCTTGCAGATGGAGTAACCTACCAGGACAGGTGTAGGGGACAATTGAACGGTACAAGGATCCTGGCCTGACACTCGAATAATCCTGACCACTTGGGAACTATAGTGTACACAAGAATAAGGCGGGACACACCAACACTAATACCTCAACACGGAAGACGAACGGGGGGAGGAGTACTGAATAATTAAGAGCACTAGGTCACTAGGGCAAAGGGGACGGTAGGCCCAATATCACTAAAGCAAGGAACCATTAATACACATTTAATAACACTTAATATCTGACTTTATTTGAAATAATTAAATAAGACACTCCCTAACTATATTCCCTACTAGAGGCCAAGGGTACTGAATGAGGTGCTTTAGTACAAGAGAGCCGTACTTACTCGTATGTTGTTCCACCGTTTCCCTGGAGATGATGTTCTTTCCCAGAGTCCACACACACCTCCCTACTGGGCTGTGCCCACTCAACTGACTCTCCTGATCTACTGCTCCTCAGCTGAACATGAGGGTTTTGCATTTGTTGTTTAGGGGTTAATCCCTGAAGATTACCATGACGGCATCAATTCTGACCTCTTTGTGATTCGATGACCGTTGACCTGACTCTATGGCTAACTTATACAGAGGTGTAACTTTTACATTGTCTGCCGTCGCCTGACTGGCGCCTGTGGGTTGTTCATCCTCCACGTGGCCTGTTCATGCTGTTATGATGTTCATGTACTATGTACTGCTCTCTTGTTACACTACAACAGGTAGCCGGGTAGAGGCCAGGGACCGATACAATAGGCAATTGGCTGTGAGTAACGAAGCTTCACCTGTACACTTGGAGTGTCATCGTGGACTGTGGACCACTGTTACCTGACCCACACATGCAAATGGACCAGACCCGCTCGCACATTCCTTCCCGGGTCTCCGCCTACCTCCAGGCACGCAAGCACGCACGCACACGTATCAAATTTACAACTAAATATGATAAAAACGTGAGAAATCAGGCCTTGCATTAATCTACGAACGTTCGGAAGTCGGAGCTAAGAGCCTCCCTAGTTCGACCCCTGCAAGACCTGGACAAACTGCAGGAATAGTCAGACAAGTGGCTGCTAGACTTCAACCCAGGCAAATGCAACATAATGAAGACATGATATTCCAGGACTCTGCCAGAAGGAAAGGATCTATAAGGAGAGAGCGTCAAGTCATTACGAATATATAGGACTTGGAAGGGAATTGGATAAGGGTTTAGGATGGGACGGGGGAAAGGAATGGTGCCCAAGCACTTAGACGGTCGGGTATTGAACGCCGACCTGCACAAAGCGAGATCCTATCTCTTTAGAAGCACCTACAAACCCGGCAGCGTTCGCTGCATGTATAATACACGACTGGATAAGGAGAGCATTGCCTTCAGAAATCTGAATAAGGTGACTCTCTGAATTCTGTGAGCCGCATATCTGAGATCGGTTCTGGAATATGCGTTCAATTAACTTTGAGCTTCGCCTCCTCAGTTCCGCCTCTCATCTTTACCTAGCAAATTTTCTCACATTTGAAGGTGGGATGTTGTTTAAGATTCGCGGTAGCACGGGCTATGGCGAGCCCGTAGTGGGTGGGATGGAGTCTGCTTCCCTCTGCTGCCTACTTAATGCATTCCATTTGTTCACTACTATGGCATGAAAAGATTACAAATGTCTCTTGAGGCTCAGTTGAGTACTTAAGTTTCCACTTGTATCCCCTTGTTCGTACTACCTGTGTCCCCTTGTTCGCTCCACCCGTGTCCCCTTGTTCGTTCCACCCGTGTCCCCTTGTTCGTACCACCCGTGTCTCCTTGTTCGTACCACCTGTGTCCCCTTGTGCGTACTACCCGTGTCCCCTTGTGCGTACTACCCATGTCCCCTTGTTCGTTCTACCCATTGTTCGTTCTGTGTCCCATTGTTCATACTCTCCCTCCCTCCCTCCCTTCCTTCCCCCTCTCTCTCTCTCTCTCTCTCTCTCTCTCTCTCTCTCTCTCTCTCTCTCTCTCTCTCTCTCTCTCTCTCTCTCTCTCTCTCTCTCTCTCTCTCCTTCTGTCACTCGCTGCCCCCCAGCAGAGGTGAGTGTGATCAGTCTGCTTCAGTGTGTAAACTGTACACCCGAGGCCAGGTGTGTTTACACCTTACCTGCTTAATGGGTTCCCTCTACCCCCTAATGAAGGCAAGGGGGGGGGATAATGAGGGAGGGGGTGGATGGGGGGGGGATGCGCATCGGTCAGCCAATGGAGTCATACCTGGGTCTCACCTGAAGAGGTTTCTGGGAGTTCTTCTACTTCCCCGAGCCCGGCCTGAGGCCAGGCTCGACTTGTGATAACTTGGTCCAACAGGCTGTTTGTTGCTTAGAGCGGCCCCACAGGCCCGCATATCCGCCACAGTTTGGTTAGTCCCGACACTT